TCTTTAAATGTTTCATACTCAACTAAAGCATAACCCTTGAGAAAGCCTGTGCGTCTGTCAAAATTTAAGTGTAAGTTTTTAATTTCCCCATATTCTCCAAATTTTTCATAAATATCATCTTCCTGTGATTCTTCATGTACACCAGTGACAAAAAGGATCCACCCTTCTACAGATCTTTGTGGTCCAGGCCCTTCAGACTCATCGTAATCCACTTCCATACCCTCATAATGATCAACACCACTTCGTGTTGGTCCCTCTCCACCGAAGCCTCTGCCTTTGCGTTTCTTTGCTTTTTCTTTCAACTTTTGAAGACCTTGATCGCTTTCCTCGTCAATTTCAAAGTCTTCTTCATCTTTCTTAGTCACAAGTAAAACGTCAGCCATTTTCTTTCTCTTAGCGTATGTTAAATGCTTATTTTTTTTTATTGAAATATTCTTTTAATTAAAATCAAGTTTTAACTGTAATAAATTGGTACTTAAGCTCTGTGATGCTCACAGATTCACCAGCTTTGTCATCGTAATCATACCATTCACACTCTTTTAAATCAACATCTGAGAAAACAGCATTAGACTCCAGTCCTTCAGCTTCCCAGCCCACCCTAGGTGAAAAATCTACAGGAGTTGCCCCCCTGCAGTCAAAAACTACAATTGTTTTAAATTGGCCAGCATCATCTTGAGTGTAAGAGTTTATTGATTCTTTAATTATGTCTATTGAATTTTCCCTTTTACATAGTTTACATTTTATGTTGAGACTTGCATTACTTTTACCATGAGCTGATGGATAACTCTCTGAAAGACAACAGTAAACAAATTCTTGTGTTTCTTCTCCACAGTTAGAACATCTTAGCTTTAGGTACCAGCGAAAATCTTCACCAATCGCTTTGATATGTTTTAGATTTTCCAACTGTGCACAAATCTGCAGGCCAGTTTTCATTGCCGAGTAAATCAAATAACAATGTTCAATGTACACGATTCCTGAATTATGAATTGTACACACTCCAATCTTGACTCAGAATCAGAGTCTCTTACTAAGACTTTAGTTAAAGTTAAACTAAGAGACTCTCTTAGTCTAGCTCAAGCTAGATGAGGGACAGTATTGATGAGACAGTATTAGTGAGTATATCAGTAGAATTCGAAATCTAGATCTGGATCTAGGTAGATCTATATTGAGTAGACAAGACATCAAAATTAGACTGGACACTTTTTCTGGTTCTTTCGGTTTCGATTTATGTTAAATGCTTATTTTTTTTTAATGTTAAATGCTTGGAGCCTAAATTTATACAGTGGAGTAATTTCATGTCACTCAAATATTGATGGAATATTCGCAAACTTTTTACTCGCACGGTTATTAGAACTGCAAGGGGTTTCTTAATAGTATCAATCAAATATTATAATAAATTACTTTCGAAATTAATTTTTACAATTTCAGTACAACGCAAAACTTAATTTGTAACAAAATATTTATTTAAAACAATGCTATACTTTATGATTTTTGTTTTTTTCTTAAAAAGAGTATACAAAATATTTAAAAATTATTACATTAAAAAGTTACCTCCCCTGTTCATAGACCAAATTACCAAATCTCGTATAATGAGAATTTCACTCGCGGTCATTTTTAGCCCTCTTAGAGGGCCTTAAGTCTGACCAACAGTTTTTCCATACGGCGTAGTCATCTTTAGAGGTGTATACAAAAAATTAGCCAGATGTAAAGAGGGTAAGTGCCCTAAAATTCGTTTTGAAATCACCCTCTGTTTTCCCATAAAATACAAAGATTATATAGGAAAATACGACTGGTCAGTTTTAACCCATTTCCCGAATTTTCCCGGACATGGCGAGTTTTTTTGTGACACCCCAAGGCGTTTTCCTAACACCTCACAAAATTTCAAGGGGGGTCGTCGGAGGAAATTTTTTTTCGTAATATAGCCCATATAAGGCGCCGGTCAGTCGAGAAATTTTTTTTCTTAATAGAGCTTATATAAAGAGAATTTCACTCGCGGTCACTTTTTAGCCCTCGTCGAGGGCTTTGAGTAAAACCGACAGTTTTCCCTAAAGGTCAAGCCATTTACCTAAGAGCATGCAAAATATTAGCCAGATGTAAAGACGGTAAGTGCCCTAAAATCCGTTTTGAAATCATCCTCTATTTTTCCCATAAAATACAAAGATTATATAGGGAAATACGACAGGTCAGTTTTGACCCATTTCCCGAATTTTCCCGGACATGGCGAGTTTTTTTGTGACACCCCAAGGCGTTTTCCTAACACCTCACAAAATTTCAAGGGGGGTCGTCGGAGGAAATTTTTTTTTCGTAATATAGCTCATATAAGGCGCCGGTCAGTCGAGGTCAGTTTTAACCCCCTCTCCGTAGACTTTTCGGCAAACCGTCACTGTCACCGGCCCTCGTGTTCTATCGCCCCAAGGCACCATCGTGCCAAATTTGACGCGCCTGACCACTTTGCTTTATATTTATAGATTGTATATGTATGTTTAGAACAGTCATTAAAAATTGACGCTATGTTCACTCTGAGTTGGTTATCCTCCCCTCCCACCTCACCACCTAAAACGGGACAGGCCGTAATTGTGTAGAGCGACATTAATGTCACACCTACGTATACGCTGGGTAGAATAATTGACCTGAATTGACCGGACACTGATGAATGAAGTTGAACCACCCCCCCCCCCTCCACCAACCCACCCCGAACTGATCTGTTAAGTACATTTGGGAAAACGCGTAATGAGGTACCAAAGTACTAGGCCGCCAAAACAATAGTTTTTGAAACAGGTAAAACTCTGTAAACATTGTTATTTGCAATTACCAGTAAAGAGGTGTGTGATCAATACAGTGATCTAACCCATTACGTATCACATGTTAAAACAGTAGCTAATTAAAAAAATGAATTATCTGAACTGCAATACCAATATTTTAGTTATATGTTCCACCTATTAGATTTAGTTTTTCTAGTAGATTGAAAAGCGTGGTTTGATACCCATTCTGATTTTTAAAAATTTCATTATGCTGTGATATTTTAGCATTGATGATGACAATAAATTTAATTCTGATTGTAGACAACATATGTTTGTAGAAACGAATAGTGTTAAGCTACTGTATTACATATTTAGGTAATTATTGTTCTGTTTTGGCATTTACAATTAAATTTGTAGAAATATACATATCTACAAATATAGGCCTACTTGTCTTAATTAATATTCTAATAATCATTATGTCAAATAGTTTTTTACAAGAATTACAAAAACAGACTGTGTTGCGTTCATTGCTTTTGGTTATATTGTGTGTATATTTTGTTTGTTTATTGTTTAGAGCGATAAATCGTTTTGTTTTGTTGTAATGTATCCAGTTTATGGACGTTGTGTGCGTATCACAAGATACAGCCGTCCAACCATGACATCATGAACGTAAGGTAAACATCCGCATTCAGTAAACATGTTTTACAAGCTTTGCTTTTGATTCGATCACACAGCGTGGAATTGGGAACTTTTGAAATACGAACCTGCGCAACAAGTCTGTCGGGTTTTTAATTACTTCTTGCTTTGGCTGCCCAGCTTAAATAGGCTAAAGTTCAATGAATATATTACTGCATTTATTTTTGAAAAGTGTAATCATGAGACATCAATACTAATATAAATCAAATTTAAAAAAAAAATTCTTTAGCAATGTACCACTTCATATTTCAGTCAAGACATTGTACCACTCCCCAAATTTCTGTCAAGACATTGTACCACTCCCCATATTTCTGCCAAGACATTGTACCACTCCCCATATTTCTGTCAAGACATTGTACCACTCCCCATATTTCTGCCAAGACATTGTACCACTCCCCATATTTCTGTCAAGACATTGTACCACTCCCCATATTTCTGTCAAGACATTGTACCACTCCCCATATTTCAGTCAAGACATTGTACCACTCCCCATATTTCTGTCAAGACATTGTACCACTCCCCATATTTCAGTCAAGACATTGTACCACTCCCCATATTTCTGTCAAGACACTGCTAGTTCTAGCTCCTTCAAACCATCCGGTGTGAAATGTGGCAGCCTAGCCAAATTTGGTGCTAGTAAAGTTTGTTACATCTTCATAGTAACAAGGTCAATAAATAATCTTCTCGTAATGTGGTACAAACTCACAAGTCACGGATCAGAAGACGCGAGAAGAGAATACCACCCAACCGTTCATCCGCCAAGTGGTAAGTGATACGTGTCGTGCCCAACGAAGCGTGTCTAGACCTTGTACTGGTCCCCATATTTCAGTCAGGACATTGTGCCACTCCTCAAATTTCTGTCAAGACTTTGCTGATCCTAACTTTGAGAAACTGTTATTTCGGGTTCGAGGATCTTAGCCAAATGTGTTGTCAGTAATTCCAATTCACATTCGTATGTACATACACACAAAACTCACTCGTGTCCGTTCAAATGACGCGAGCTGACCAGAGGCGTAGCGAGGGGTGGGGGGGGGTGCGGACCGCACCGGGTAACACCAAGTGGGGTGACACCAAGGCAAAAAATAGCAAAATATATAGAGAAAAATGATTATTCCACTTAATTAAGTGATTAATTCGAGTATTAAATAGTCTTTTAAGAAATGCAATTCGAAAGTTTAAGGGGGAAGGGTGCAAATGGAAAGTTTGAAGTGGGGATGCAAATCGAAAGTTTGAGGGGGGGGTGCAAATCGGAAATTGAAAGTTTGTCCCCGGGAAGGGTCGCTACGCCTCTGGGGAGTGACACCATTCAGTGCCGCACCGGGTGACACCCGACCTCGTTACGCCACTGGAGTTGACTATCCAGTTGAAGTTTCAATCCACCATTGTTTTGCGTGCCGTGTCCAGTGGTAGTGTTTTACGAACCATTCGGCAACCAATGCACTTGAGGACTGGTGTTTACGTAATGCAGTTGGAGCTGAATTTATTTAAACCGTTGCTAGCACCACCGCTGGTGTTTTGAATCTGCAGCTTATCAATGTGAAATATATTTTGATGGCATCCGTTTCCTATCAATAGCACGCATCCTAAGAAAGTTGTCGCAACATAATTACCTTCATCTCTACGATTTTATTGGCTACGTTTCGTTGCGTGTGACATAAACAACGTTTCAGGTTTATAAAGACGTATCCGAAGTTTTTTGTTGATTTCGTACGTCAAACCTCGGGCTGCTGCTAACATCAGATCGGCTGAAAGTCCTAGAAACAAGGTAAGGACACATTTTATAGATAGCCGTATATTTATACATAGCAATATGACAAAATTATCTTGATGAAAATAAACATAAAACCAATTTAAATTCATAATAATAACTGTCTCGTTATGTCTATTTAAGTAAATGATAATCTTTTCCCGATCGTTCCCAAAACACATAGGGCAGGTGAAGGGATAGTGTGGTCAGCCACTTTTTTTTCCACTTACGTGAGTTATTACATTTCTAGAGGTACCGTAAAAAATCATATTAAAAAATATTTTTTAAAGAATTTTCAAGGCTATTTATTTATTAATTAATTTAACTTGGTTGCAAATTACAAGAAAACTGATAGTTTTTAGCTCAATCGGTAAGATTAACATTAATTGCATTAATGACACTAAGACTTTTATGAACAAAATATGTTTCAGCCGAACATGCAAAAGGGGATTGTGACATGGATATTAAAGTGTTATTAAAAAAAATATTGAATACATATTTAATTATTTGTCCTAGATGACATCCTGTGTGTACCAACTGGTGTGTGCTGTCTGTGTGCTGATGTCTTGTCTGCCACAGACATCGGCAGACTTTAGTACAGAGAGAGGGAAAGTGAATGAAGCTTGCAGCAAAACTTTAGACACATGTTTAATGCTGTCTGGAAGTTCAACACCTTCAAGTGACGCTGGTTGGTGCACTCTGTTTGGGGGTACAGTCAATGGCGTCAGCGCCTACCAGTGTGTTGTACGGATCGGACTTTGTACAGACGAGGAGTTTGTGGCTCTCAAAAATGGAGCTTGTCGTCAGACGGCTACGGTCCAGACACAGTCCAGTTATCTAAAGACATATTTGTATAATGTGGTAAAATCGACCAGCTCAGCTTGCCAGGATCAAATAGTTGATTGTATTTTCGGGTCCAGTGTGGCCACTGTTTTAAAACAACAGGAGCAGTACTGTAAACTGATGAACCTTGGGATCACCGGCAAGACCACCACGACATGTCTTTCCCCAGCTTGCTCAACAACAGAACTTACGAGCCTGAAAATAATCTCGTGCTTGACAACCCAATCCCAACCTTTTTCTGACGCCATCGTGGCAACTTCTCAGGTGTGTCAAAATGGTATGGAGTCATGCACCTATGGCGTCACAGAGGCGTTAGCTTTAATAAAAGGCGAGAAGTACTGTGACGTCATGAGTCTGTCATTTGCAACCACAGCTCACGATTGCCTGATAGCAGCAGGCTGTACAGAGACTGAATTTCAGAATCTAAAAGCAGCAGCCTGCAGTAATTCTCATATTGTAGACTTTAATAAGGAGCGAGGGAAAGTGTCTGAAGCTTGCAGGAAAACGTTAGACACATGTGTAATTCTGTCTGGAAGTTCAACACCTTCTACAGACGCTGACTGGTGTTATCTTTTGGTGGCACCACTCAATAGCGTCAGCGCCTACCAGTGTGTTGTACGGATCGGACTTTGTACGGACGAGGAGTTTGTGGCTCTCAAAAATGGAGCTTGTGGTCAGACGGCTACGGTCCAGACACAATCCAGTTATCTAAAGACATATTTGTATAATGTTTTAAAATCGACAAACTCAGCTTGCCAGGATCAAATAGTTGATTGTATTTTCGGGTCCAGTGTGGCCACAGTTTTAAAACAACAGGAGCAGTACTGTAAACTGATGAACCTGGTTGTTACCGGAAAAACGACTCGGGATTGTCTTGCTCCCGTCTGCACATCATCGGAATTTATTAATCTGAAAACAACCGCCTGCTCGACAACCCAATCCCAACCATTTTCTGACGCGATCGTGGCAACCTCTCAGATGTGTCAAGACGGTATGGAGTCATGCACCTATGTTGTCAAAGAGGCGTTAGCTTTGATCAAAAGCGAGAAGTACTGTGACGTCATGAGTCTGTCAGGGACAACCACATCTCACGACTGCCTGATAGCAGCAGGCTGCACGGAGACAGAGTTTCAGAACGTGAAGGCAACAGCCTGCAGTGGATCTAATATTGTAGAATTTATTACACAGAGAACAATGATGTCTACAGCTTGTAGCAAAACGCTGGACACATGTGTAAAGTTGTCTGAAAGTCCAACCCCTACAAGTAACGCTGGTTGGTGCACTCTGTTTGGGGCAACAGTCAATGGTGTCAGCGCCTACCAGTGTGTTGTAAGGATCGGACTTTGTACAGACGAGGAGTTTGTGGCTCTCAAAAATGCAGCGTGTGGTCAGAAGGCTGCGGTCCAGCAAGCGTCCAGTGCTCTAAAGATATCTATGTACAATGTGGTAAAATTAACAAGTGACACTTGCAAGAGTAAAATAGTTGATTGTATTTACGGGTCCAGTATCGCCACAGTTTTAAAACAACAAGAGCAGTACTGTAAACTGATGAACCTTGGGATCACCGGAAAAACAATAAAAAACTGTCTGGCTGGCTATTGCTCCTCTGCTGAAATTGTAAATCTGAAAACAATTGCTTGCTTGACAACCCAATCCAAACCATTTTCTGACGCCATCGTAGCAACCTCTCAGATGTGTCAAGATGGTATGGAGTCATGCACTTTTGGCGTCATACAGGCGTTAGCTTTGATCAAAGGCGAGAAGTACTGTGACGTGATGAGTCTGTCTGTGGCAACTACAGCTCACGATTGCCTGATAGCAGCAGGCTGTACAGAGACTGAATTTCAGAAGGTAAAGGCAGCAGCCTGCAGTGGTTCTAATATTGTAGACTTTAATACGGAACGAGGGAAAGTGTCTGAAGCTTGCAGCAAAACGTTGGAGACATGTGTAACTCTGTCTGGAAGTTCAGCCCCTTCAAATGACGCTGGTTGGTGCTTTCTGTTTGGGGCAACAGTTAATGGCGTCAGCGCCTACCAGTGTGTTGTAAGGATCGGACTTTGTACAGACGAGGAGTTTGTGGCTCTCAAAAATGGAGCTTGTCGTCAGACGGCTAAGGTCCAGCAACAGTCCAGTTATCTAAAGACATATTTGTATAATGTGGTAAAATCGACCAGCTCAGCTTGCCAGGACCAAATAGTTGATTGTATTTTCGGGTCCAGTGTGGCCACAGTTTTAAAACAACAAGAGCAGTACTGTAAACTGATGAACCTGGTTGTTACCGGAAAAACGACACGGGATTGTCTTGCTCCCGTCTGCACATCAGCTGAATTTATTAATTTGAAAACAACCGCCTGCTCAACAACCCAATCACAATCATTTCCTGATGCCATCGTGGCAACCTTTCAAATGTGTCAAGATGGTATGGAGTCATGCACCTATGGCGTCAAAGACGCGTTAGCTTTGATCAAAGTCGAGAAGTACTGTGACGTCATGAGTCTTACCACTGTTCACGACTGCCTGATAAAAGTAGGCTGCACGGAAACTGAGTTTCAGAAAGTGAAAACAGCAGCCTGCAGTGGTTCTAATATTATGGCTTCTCTTATCATGTTGGCAATTGCTCTACTTCTTCAGCTTTTTTTATACTAATTGTTACGTATAAGATATAAGACGCGAACATCAATATTACACGTAGCAAATGTTCAAAAGTTTATGTTGAAAAGTTTAATATTTGAATGGACAAAATTTAATTACAAATAAAATATTGCAAGTTAAGATTATAAAACTTTCGTGTGATATTAAATGGCGAAAAACAAAATTGTGAAAAGAAAACAAATTACCAGCTCAGAACCCGTGATTCTTTCAAGCAATTTTCTCCATGGAGTCACTTGAAACTTTTGGAGGCGGACGGTGGACGGACGAATAAGTGTTACAGCATATATTTTCTGTTTAAATTATATATTCTTTCTATTTCAGCCATGACCATGAGGGGGGTGGGGTAGTGGGTGTCGACATGCTATCAATAATTCTTCCTCCTAGAATAAATTATATACAAATCTACAAAGATAGCGTTTTATCATAAATATGGCTAATTTTTAAAAAAAAACTTGTGCCAACATATTTAAGTGACAACCATCGTTGTTGGCAATAGATTCTATGTAATGGGGATCAAACCATCGATTTAGCATTACATCATTGAAATATGCCAAGTGTTGACATGGAGTAGAAATTTTGCATCAGTTTATCACCCAAAGATGTGGCGTTAACATAGTTGATATTCTATATCTTACTTGTCAGTATGATTTGCCTAACCTTAACTCTAATTCGAGCTTAGTTCGAGGCCCATCGTGGCTCAAATAACCTTTATGATAGGCTGATAATATATATATATTTATAAAAGGTTGCTCAGTCTGTAACTAAAATCGCTTTTTATTTATAAATTATTAATAAAATTTGATAAGAGAAGAATTAGTAAAATTATTTCAAAATTTAACGAACAAAAACTGTGCAATCTCTGACAATAGATAAGGTTTGTATATGTACAAATATGTTTTATTATTGTCCCTATGCTACACATTACACAGTGGTAATAAAGTTTAGGTTTCTCTTTTTTCCTTGGATTTGTTTTATTTTTTTGTTTATAAAATATTCTTTATATTTAAAATAAAAACAGCTAAAGTATTTCTCCCCGACAAGAACAGATTGAATCATATCCATATGAAGGAAAATAACAAATCTGGATTACATTTTATCACTTCTTTTAAATAGATTCTTCACTCTATTACGTTAGGTCCAATTATTACCTTAATATTTTAAATTAAATATAGTAAATATAGCACATCGATTGCATTTTGTATATTTTATCCTAGATAGGACTAAGTTTAATTTTGCTGCTTCAAGTGTGTCTTATGGTGTCTATTTCTTATTCCTATCCCGTGACAACATCGCTCACATATGATATTTTATATGTTAAGCAAATTTTCGCATGTGTTTCAATCTGTGTTTCAATCTGTGTTTCAAGATGATATCACACGATCTAGTCATTGTGATCCACGAACATTTGCTGTGTAAAATTGTACACCAATGAGTAAGCATGTCTGTCAAGTTTCAAGCTATTTGTTTCTATGATTGCCTAGCTCAAATGGATACATTTCGATGTAATATTTTTATGTATGTATGTGTAAGCGGGGTTTTCACCAGATGTAAAAAAAAATCTAACTGTAAAATGAGTTTTGTAGCAGTATAACCGCCACCGCCCTGCTCATTTTCTTTCAAGGTTGGTTCTAGCTACATAGGTTTCTTTTGTTACTTTTCACCAGTTTTTCCAAATCATGGTAGCATTGTCAATTAATAATGGCCATTCTAATGGGTATAAAAGTAGACCGGTCAAGGAAATAATGGAGAACATTTAAAAAAAGAGGAAAGGCCTGATAAACTTACGTGGGCGCAAATAAAGCTAGCTGCCCAAAACCGAGTCGTTTTCATCGCAGAGAACGCAAAGGATTTAGCCAGGTCATATAAGTCATCCGAGTGTGTGAACGAAAAACCTTAACTTCACGGTTCAGATGACTCGAGAAGACTCGAATGCTGAATTTTTGATCAACCAGTTGCTACATGGTGCGTGTCTTGACAATATTGGCCTTGTAGAAAACTGTTGACAGCCAATGGAGATGTAGACGGGTGTCCCGGGTGTGTTACTTAATACTGCTTTAGAAATTGCCTGTTGAATAAATTAAAACCCTCTAAAGCTTTTTATCGTTTATGTATACGAGGTCACCGGTTTTCCATCATTGAATGCAGCCAAATAAGGACAACAAAACAAAGACGTCTAAGATTTCATTGGTTAATTTTTGTTCCATGGGGCACAACACGCTCAGGTTACATAAGGTACACTAATTCGTCATTTCGGTCACTTCAATCGTTAAAAGCTGTGGGCTGATGTTAACAGCAGATCTGTCTTTAACCTAAAAACATAAGAAAACGGTTGTTACGTCTTAACATTGCCGAAAAAAAAAACAATACTAAAAATCGATGTGACAATCATTAATTTAAATGAAATAAATTTCGAACTAATTTAAATTGATATTCAACTATTTAGAATTATTGTTTTTCTTTAAAGAAGAAAAACATTTCTAATTTTTAAAATTGACTTTGGGGTTCGTTTTTATGTTCCCGATAGAGTTAGCATTTACGTTTGAGTTTGCGTTAATGTTTATTTTTGTGTTTCTGTTTGCATGTATGTTTATGTTTGCATATACGTTTGCGTTTATGTTTGCGTTTATGATTATGTTTACGTTTACGCTTGTGTCTATGTTTCCGTTTATGTAAAATGTTTGCGTTTATTTTTGAGTTAGTGCTTGCGTTTCCGTTTATATTTTCGAAAACGGCCATATTTACATATAGCAATTAAAATGAAAATTGTATGAATTCCCACGGGCGAGCGCAGGGTATGTGATGCTTAACGAGCAGATAAGTCATAGCCCTTTCCAAAACATTTTTACCTTAAATGATAGTGCAAGGTCTGGTCAGTACGATTAGTACTTTAATTTTAAAAAGTAAGCAGTAAAATTCTTTCTTACCAACAAGTACAGAGTAAACTAAATCGCCAGAAATAAAGTAACAGACGAACATAAGAAAGAAAACAAAAAAGCGGGAGTGATCTCTCCTTAACTTTTTCGAATATTCTTATATAACACTACGGGGGATGGGAACTCGGAATATATACATGATTTTTAAAATATATTAGAATCTGGTAGAAAAAAGAATTGCTCAGCAAGTGAACAGCAAACAATGTGTGTATAATAGTGCGGAATATTAGTAATTTATAGATTCAAATGCGTTTTTTTTAGAAATCGTAAAAAACGTAAAGTACTACTTCCGGTCACCGGAAACGACACAAAATTGATAGACATGAGAATTAAAACTTTTATTTATATGTAGCTTTGAGAAACAATTTTGTAGGGTTCCAGCAGCCTAGCCAAATCTGTTGCTAGTAAAGTATGTTACAAGCTTCATAGTAACAAGGTCAATTAGATAATGGTCATTCTAATGTACATACACAATCCCACGACTAGGACCAGACGACGAGTGAAGACAATACCACCAATGTTTCGATCAGTCAGGTGGTAAATGATGCGTGTCGTGCGTCCTATGATGGTGTCATAGAAAACTTTAGGCTACCGATGCAGGAGTACAATAGTTTCAGATATCTGGCTAGTACAACATTATCGGATATCTTGCTTTTACTACAGTATCATATATCTAGCCAGTACAACATCATCAGATATCTGGCTAGTACAACAATAACGGATATCTGGCTAGTACAACAGACAGCATATGATATCTGGCTAATACAACATCATCAGATATCTGGGTAGTACAACAGTATCGCATATCTGGCTAGTACAACAGTATTAGTTACGTACTCCTATAGTTGATGGTACCCTATGTTTCCGATTCGTGCTACGGCTATTGTGCTCGACTGATTCTTCTATTGATTACCAATGACAGTGCTGTAGCTACATATTGCCACTGGTATGGGTACTCAGTGCTGAAACAGTGGGTACTGAGTGTTGAAGCCATGTGTACTGAGTGCTGAAGCTGTGGGTACTTAATGTTACTGCAGTCGGTTCTTGGTGTCACTCAGGGGCGTAGCGAGTGGGGTGGTGCGGACCGCACCGGGTGACATCATTTAAGGGGGTGACACCAAGGCAAAAAAATAGCAAAATATATAGAGAAAAACTTGAGGGGGGGGGGGGCGCATATCGAAAGTTTGAGGGGGGGGGGGTGCAAATCGAAAACTTGAGGGGGGGGGGGGGTGCAAATCAAAAGTTTGAGAGGGGGGGGTGCAAATCGAAAACTTGAAATTTTGTCCCCAGGAAGGGTCGCTACGCCTCTGGGGGGTGACACCGTTAAGTGCTGCACCGGGTGACACCAGACCTCGCTACGCCACTGGTGTCACTGCTGTGGGTACTCAACGCTGGAGCTGTTGGTAATCGATAACGTTGATGTGGGTACTCAGCCTTAGCAGTGGGTACTCAGTATCACTGCTATGAGTGCTTAGTGCTCAAACTGTGGTTGATCAGTGTCAGTGATGTTGGTACTCAGTGCTGAAGATGTGGGCACTCAATAACACTGCTGTCGGTACTAAATGCCAGTATAATGCCACTAATGTGGGTATTCAATAGCACTGCAAAGGGTATGTTTGTAAGTACTCAACCTTACTGTATTTATTACGAGGAGTAGGTCTATGCTCAGTGTTATTATTGTCAAGGACACTGTAAGGACCTTTCTTTGGTGGTATCCAGGAAAGTGGTCCACCACCTCACTCTCTGTTGTCTATTTATTTTTTATGTTCTCCTAATATGTTACAATACTATTTCAAAGCTAAATTCGATATATTGTACCCAGCAACATGATCACATTATTCCAGCATCTCTCTCTCTCTCCATATGCCAATGTCAATGAAACAGGTGAACTCTACTTCACCTACCACATGGACCGTAACGTTCTAAAGTGCTCTTTTATATACAGGCGAAGACTATATTGTAAACCCTTTACTTGTTTATAATCATACTTGAATGAATGACAGCTTATTTCGTTATACCTGCTTGGCACCCAAGTTCCAATTTATGTCTTATTGTCGGATGTCGCGAAAAGGCGACAAACCGAAATTAGCAGATAATTATTCTCATATGTGATTTATACTGTTTATATACATAAAAGAGTGAATAATAAAGCTATTAGTATTCTTTGTAGCAAAAACGGATCACCTATTTAGTAATTATAATCAATGTAAGTAGGCTGAATTCACGAAGTCAGAAAAATACGATACGCGTGAGTTAAGAGAGTGTGACGTCATAAATTTCGACTTGACAACGTGACCGTTGGTACCGATACAACCGTCTGGGTGTACTCAATACACAACGACCGGCAGCATTAGGATAAATGTACCTATGCACAAATGCTATGCGCTAAATAGGTATGTCACGAAAACGCGACTGTCGGCGTTAAGTGGTTAAAACCCTTTACAGCCCCTAATCTTGTGTATTTAAATAGACACATTTCACGTCACATGTTTTCCACCAATCGTGTTAAGCCAACAACAGCAGATTCCAAACCTTAGGTTTATAAAGCGCGTCTCTAGGAATAATTTGGTTGATTTCGGACGTTAAAGCTTTAGGCTTCTGTTAATATCGGGTTTATTGTCCTAACAACTGACACGGTAACTGACAAGGTAAGGGCACATTCTGTAGAGAGCTGTACATTTGTATAGAGAGATAAGACAGAGTTTCTTTTAGATATAATTACATTAGAACTAATTTAAAATGGTAATACCACTTGTTCAATAATTGTTTATTTTTTTAAATAGATGATTTGTAATTTAAAATAAATATTATGTATACATTTGGAAAACTTGAAAGGTATTATTCTTTTATACTTTGTTGCGATACTATTAGACATACATACACATGCAATCTTTACGTTTTTTAGCGACAGAGGATTTTTAAAAATGACAAGTTTCTTTTTTCTTTTTTCGGTGCATATTATTATATAAGCGTATTATTATAAAAGCAGATTTATAATTGTTTTTTTTTTACTCTTTTAGTAAATATGTAGGCCCCTATTTATAAAAAAACTAATATAGATATTTGATAGGCTAGTTTTTATAATCATTTAGAAGCTTTTTTAAGTGTATGGTTTTTTGCATTCTGTTCCACATGACATACTATTAGAAGTATCTACTTTAGAACCCGATCAGCAGCTAGCGAGACAATTATCGGCCCAATCTTAGTCCCTGGCTGCTATCATGCATCAACCTTTTATCTTTGACCACCATTCCCCACATTTAAATAGTGATTGTACAACAAAAATATGTTTATTATACTGATTTGCTACTATTTTATTTGGCATCGTGTTTAACAGATGAATATGTAGCTTTTCAATTACACGAGAAATATTAAAATTATGCAAATAAATACCGTATTATATCATTATTTTTATAAGATTTAGAATATGATTTGCTTTTTTTAGAAAAAATTAGATTTTAATTTCAAATTTTATTTTTAGATGATACCCTGTGTGTACAAACTGGTGTGTTTTGTCTGTGTGCTGATGTCTGGTCTGCCACAGACATCGGCAGACTTTAGTACAGAGAGAGGTAAAGTGTCTAAGGCTTGCAGCAAAACTTTAGACACATGTGTCAACATGGCTGTCAACCTGGGTGGAAGACCAACACCTACAAGTAACGCTGATTGGTGCGCTCTGTTTGGGGCTACAGTCAATGGCGTCAGCGCCTACCAGTGTGTTGTAAGGATCGGACTTTGTACAGACGAGGAGTTTGTGGCTCTCAAAAATGGAGCGTGTGGTCAGACTGCTACAGTCCAGCAACAGTCTAGTGCTCTAAAGACATCTGTGTATAATGTGGTAAAATCGACAAGCTCAACTTGCCAAGACAAACTTGTTTATTGTATTTTCGTGTCCAGTGTGGCCACAGTTTTAAAACAACAGGAGCAGTACTGTAAACTGATGAACCTTGGGATCACCGGCAAGACCACCACGACATGTCTTAACCTAGCTTGCTCAACAACAGACATCATCAACCTAAACACAACGTCCTGCTCGACAACCCAATCCCAACCATTTTCTGACGCCATCGTGGCAACCTCTCAGGTGTGTCAAAATGGTATGGAGTTATGCACCTATGGCAGCAATGAGGCGTTCGCTTTGATCCAAGCCGAGAAGTACTGTAACGTCATGAGTCTGTCAGGGACAACCACAGCTCACGATTGCTTGCTTAAAGCAGGCTGCACAGAGACTGAATTTCAGAACATAAAGACAGCCGCCTGCAGCGGTTCTCATATTGTAGCATCTTTTATCATGTTAGCACTTGCTTCACTGAATCAGCTTTTTTTAGCCTGAATGTTTGAGTACTAGAGTTTCCATTGTGATGTATAGTCACAACAAGTTTGTGTAAAAAATAAATCTTTAATATAAATATTACACTAGAAAGTTAGAGTGACTTCTAAATCACAATAAATAAGTGTCAAAAGAACAAGTTTTGTTGAATTTTTCTAAAACTTGGATGTTCGAGACTTACATTTTAGCTAGATATAAAATGTTGAAAGTGATCATTATCACAATTACGTCGCTTTTTTGTTACGCTTCTTGACCAAGGTGGTAAAGGTGTAAAAAAAATACAAGTGAAACTGAAAATATATGACTCAATTTGGTTAATGGAAAACCTCAAAATGCTAATCCAAAAAACTCTGAATCTGTTTGAATGAAAAGAGATAGTATCATAGACAAATCTCTTAGATTTTTTATTGGAGTGAGTGGCCGGGGGATAGAGTGGCAGGGGGGATAATCCATAAATGACTTCACGTTTTTTGGACGACTATTACCTACCTCCCCTCCGTCCCACATCGTCACAAACGGCCAGAAACCGCCACCCCAAACCCAACCCCACCAAAAAAAGACGTCGCACCTCAGCCTACAGACCCCTCAAAATTGCAGTTTAATTTTTCTGAAACATCAAAATGTCTCTAAAATTGTGTTTGAACTCTATTAACAGAGTAATTGCTATAAGAATTTATTCAAACAGTTTTCTAAAACGCTAAATAACAACTAAAATTAGTTTTTTTACATTTAAAAAAAAACAACCCAAAACTGTTACGTCACACCATCTGAACATCCCCTCCCCTTTGTCACACACCGTCACAAAATTACGGACCCCCCCTCCCCCCTTCGAGTATGACGTCATTTAATTTTATGGACGACCGCTAATCCATATGTCCAATGTTTGTATCCCTTCGTACAGTCCAAATTACGACCCTGACTCCCAGCTCTGACGGGTACCCTACTCACATATTAGGTCCATGACTCCCACCTCTGACGGGTACCCTACTCACATATTAGGTCCCTGACTCCCACCTCTGACGGGTACCCTACTCACATATTAGGTCCCTGACTCCCACCTCTGACGGGTACCCTACTCACATATTAGGTCCCTGACTCCCACCTCTGACGGGTACCCTACTCACATATTAGGTCCCTGACTCCCACCTCTGACGGGTACCCTACTCACATATTAGGTCCCTGACTCCCACCTCTGACGGGTACTGTTACGTCCGGGTTAGCTTCGAATTCAAGAACAACGCTTTGTGTATAACTTCACTCCTTTTATTTGTCTCAATGCATTCAAGCGTACCATAACAGCCCTCGTCCTAACCGCTACTAACCCGCTGACTGCCCCCCCCCCCCCCCCCCCCACAATCGTTCACTCGCCCTTTTATACCCGCATTCGACCTTGGGATTACAAGACATAAACACACAAGAGTAACTACACAGTAAGGTGAACTCCACTCACACAGGCACTCTCCCCTAGTTCTAGACTATTCTAACCTATTCTAAACTAACCTACAACTGGCCCGTAACACTACCCCCCACCTAAGTATTTGTAGTAATAACTACAAATACTGACTAACAAATCCTAGCTAAATAAAAAAAACACAAAGCCTTTTATACACATACACTAGTAGACAAGTTAAAAATATACATTCCAAAGAATGTATATGACAGATTGTATATACAATGAAATACATAATGACAACATACAGAACTGCTACAATTTAGAGCTAGCACAAATCATCCGTGTAACTAACAAACAAAGAAAAAATCATACACACCCAGTTGCATCGTACCGAATCTAAGAACTTTCCAGACCCCAATTTTTTTTTAGTCTACCCTGTGCGCTCTCTGGCTACACTGGTTTACGACTCCTACCTATATCTCAACCATTCTACATCACACAAAAAATTTGAGTCAACCTGCGCTCTATGGCTACACTGGTTTACGACTCCTACTCATATCTCAACCATTCTACATCACACAAAAAATTTGAGTCAAACTGCGCTCTATGGCTACACTGGTTTACGACTCCTACCCATATCTCAACCATTCTACATCGCAAAAAATTTGAGTCAACCTGCGCTCTATGGCTACACTGGTTTATGACTCCTACCCATATCTCAACCATTCTACATCACAAAAATTTGAGTCAACCTGCGCTCTATGGCTACACTGGTTTATGACTCCTACTCATATCTCAACCATCCTACATCAAAATTTGAGTCAACCTGCGCTCTATGGCTACACTGGTTTACGACTCCTACTCATATCTCAACCATTCTACATCAAAATTTGAGTCAACCTGCGCTCTATGGCTACACTGGTTTATGACTCCTGCTCATATCTCAACCATTCTACATCACAAAAAATTTGAGTCAACCTGCGCTCTATGGCTACACTGGTTTACGACTCCTACCTATATCTCAACCATTCTACATCACAAAAATTTGAGTCAACCTGCGCTCTATGGCTACACTGGTTTACGACTCCTACCTATATCTCAACCACTCTACATCACAAAAATTTGAGTCAACCTGCGCTCTATGGCTACACTGGTTTACGACTCCTACCTATATCTCAACCATTCTACATCACAAAAATTTGCAACTCACAGTCGATGTTGTTACATACTCTGTCAAACAGCTATAGCGTCGGGCTAACGGCATCCCCACAGCATCCAGCAAACGTCAGGACAGCAACCGGTAAACATCAGGACACCAACCGGCAAACATCAAGACAGCAACCGGCAAACATCAGGACAGCAACCGGCAAACATCAGGACAGCAACCGGCAAACATCAGGACAGCAACCGGAAAACATCAGGACAGCAACCGGAAAACATCAGGACAGCAAGCGGCAAACATCAGAAAGCAAGCGGAAAACATCAGGACAGCAACCGGCAAACATCAGGACAGCAACCGGCAAACATCAGGACAGCAAGCGGCAAACATCAGGACAGCAAGCGGCAAACATCAGGACAGTAACCGGAAAACATCAGGACAGCAACCGGCAAACATCAGGACAGAAACCGGCAAACATCAGGACAGCAACCGGCAAACATCAGGACAGCAACCAGCAAACATCAGGACAGCAACAGGCAAACGACAGGACAGCATCAGGCAACGGCAGGACAGCATCAGGCAAACATCAGGGCAGCATCAGGCAAACGACAGGACAGTTTATGCTTCTACTTGATTCATACTGGCCACCAGTTGTTACGTCCGGGTTAGCTTCGAATTCAAGAACAACGCTTCGTGTATAACTTCACTCCTTTTATTTGTCTCAATGCATTCAAGCGTACCATAACAGCCCTCGTCCTAACCGCTA